AAATTTTGTAGTTGCTGAGGAAGTCCCCAGTAAGGGACGAAACGTTCAACAAGATCAAATAAATTTGTTCATCAAAATTTATTAACTGTCTTCAATTTTCCCTTTGAAACTCATATATAATAATAATAATTATTATTATTATATATTTTTTATAATAAAGTTATTTTTTGAACGTATGGTTAATTATTAGATTAATGATTTGATTTTGAATCATCGTAAATGGTTATTTGCGTTTACTTTTACGTTTTTTTTATTAAATTTTTTGAAGTTTAAAATGAATCGGACAGTAGGTATAAGAAAACGTCTGGGTTCGTATTTTTTCGCAAATATTCTTCTAGAGATGTGTACGTAAGGAAAAAAGAGCGGGAAAATCTAATCTTTCTAGACGAGGGATGTAAATGTACTTACTTTAGCGCGATAAGTAATATAGAAAAACGTAGCAATATTCTTTCTTATCATTTTTCCGATATATGATGAAAGTAATATACATGTGTATATATGTAATAGTAATACTACCATGTTTTAAAGATACTAGCAGATACATTTCTCTAGACGTTTTAATATCGGATTTTCTTATTCCTATATCGGATACCGATCCTTATATTTAAACTTCTATTTTATTCGTGATATTTCTTCTAGGATATTATTATTGCACGAATTTTTTATCGTAACACACACGTAATTACGCGAATAGATTTTTATTTTATTTTATTTTACAATATAATATAATATAAATAAAAAGAAAATAAAGAATAAAAGTACAAATTGAGTCGAATTTTTAATAATCTTTTTTTTTTAGACCTAATATTATAATTAATCACAAAGTTAAAAATAAATAATCCACATATGAATCGTAAACCATACCTTTACAACTTATCAATGTATCGTTAAATTTAAAAATATTTACAACAACAAAATAAAATAAAATAAAATAAAAATTGAACAACAGCGCGTGGTGTAACGTGATAATAAATAATTAAATAAATAGAAATAATTAGAGATGAAATAAAAGTTGCACACATAGAAAAATATCTTAAATCGTATATGACAATTCTCGATAAAAAAAAAAAAAAAAACAATGCAATACAATTAAAATGAAAAAAAAAAAAAATACAAATTGAGTCGAACTTTTAATAATCTTCTATTTCTCTCTCTCTCTCTCTCATCACACACACTCTTCTGTACGCATTCACACGAGATTTCCGTAGGTTTCAGGTATCCGTTAAATACGGTACCGTCGAGACAGAGCAACGAGTTTCCGATAATACCGGATGCAGTCGAGCGTATTACGGGATAATGCGTCCCACGTTCAATAATACGCCGGACTATTCGTTCTCCGTTCGATCACGTTCGATCACATTTAAAACGAGTCGTCCTACCACCCTTCTCTTTTCTTTTCTTTTTCTTTTA